TAAGGTCCACATTTTTCTCCAGAATATGGTCATGAATAAGGAAGGATTTGTTGGTCAGTGATTGAACATTAAAAAGTTCTATTTTAATACTGGTTGAAGTGGAAGCCTTATGGAGAGGTTTTAGCAGACTGAAATCCACTCCACGTTTTCCTTGCCCCTTCATGCATTGAGTTCTTCCAGCCATATCAGGGAGCACAGACGCTGCATTCTGATGACGAAAGCGTTGCGCGACACGTCTGGTAGACCAGAAGGAAGCCATAGGGCCAGATCCAGCCTGCTGATGAAAAACAGTTCTCCTCCGAGAGCCTCTATGGACATAGCGGGGTCTACGCAGAAGACCCAGTCGTTTTAAGATGGAAACACAGGGTGGGATGGAGTAGTTGTTAAGTCCAATCAGCTGGGAGGCGGAATAGGTCAACATCGACGAGCCGGTCAAGCCTGGAGAAGTCTAGCATGGAGCTAACCGCTAACAGCAGACCCACGGCTCCAAAACAGACATTCAGGAAACAGAGCGATGTAATCCACAGCATAACTTGCAGACTAGCACAGGAGAAAATCCAGCGAGAAATGACGACGGTTGATAACGACAACTTTTTCCGTGGAGAAGCGGCGAAGCGGTGGAGAAGCGGCGAAGCGGTGGAGAAGCGGCGAACATTCAACGCCAGCGTCCTCTCCCTCCGTCAATCATCTGCGTGTTGTTTATGTAAGATGTTTATTGCCCTCCCCTGTAGGGGTGGTAAAATATCTTATTGAATCAGATATTATTTCAGCTGTTCTATATTGTTTATGACACACAGTCCTACTAGCTGTAAACTAAACTACTATGTTCAAAGAGGAAGGGGAAACATGGTTGAAAACCATATTACAGTTTAAGATTGATTCTGTGTTTGAAACCAAAGTTTATCTGGAAGAATTTGGGATATGATCAAATTAGCTTTTCACTAATTTAGAGAAATTGGAATGTTTTCAGACCAATTCACAATGCAAATCCATGAGATGAATAAAACATTATTTGGCCAAATAATGTTTTATTAAATGATTTGCTTAAAGTAGTTCTGGTCAGTTAGACTTACTTAGATACAGAGATATCACAGAAAAAGAACTTAACCTGGGCTGCCACCTTATTGTGGTGGAGAGGTTTGAGTGTCCCAATGATCCTGGGAGCTATTCTGTCTGGGGCTTTGTGCCCCTGGTAGGGTCACCCACGGCAAACAGGTCCTAGGTGAGGAACTAGACAAAGCGCAGCCCAAAGACCCTTATGATGAGTACAATCTTTGGATTCTGCGTTCCCTCGCCCGGACGCGGGTCACCGGGGCCCCACTCTGGAGCCAGGC